GATTCAACTCTGATAGAGTTGATTTTAACACTTTTTCAGGGTTTATATAGGTCCACACTCTTCAGAGTTCATTTGACACAGTCGAAATAGTTAAATTTTTAACACTGTAACCGAGTTCCTTGTTTAACTCACACGACAGAGTTGAATTAAGGGTGTGTGGACATAATGGTTAACACTGATCCAAAAACAAAACTTAACTGTTTTGTTAGAGTTGATTTAACACCTTCAAGTGTAATCTTCTAGAAAATAAGTCACTTTATGAGTGGTTAATTATAATAAAACAAAACTAAAAACAAATCCATTTTAGATGCTTTATTTTTGCATTTTTAAAATGTTTCCAACATTTTAAATTGTGGTACAATGAACAAACATTCATTAGAAACACCATATGAGTTCTGAATATCAAATGGCTTATTAAATTTAAGCTCTGGGATTTTTACAAGTAGTGTTTCTTCACTATGAAGAACCCTGAAAGCATGAAAATGATCATCAAACCTCTCTGTGAACAATTGTTTAGATAACAAAAGAAAAGTGTTGTCAACTAAAAGTATATCACTTATCTGACAAAACACTGGCATTTCCTCTTGCATTGTACTACAAACAACAAGTCCAGGTCTGTACTCAATACCATCAACTTTAACCCAGCTAGTTGAACAAACATCTTCTGATGAAATTATTTGAAGCATTTCATTACTCACCAGATCTTCATCTTTAAGTAAAAAAGGTTTGACTGGCCCATGCTCATTTTGTTTAATAGGTATTGTCTCCCAATGATGAGCTATGGCCATCTGATGCTTTTTAGCAAGGGACTTTGTTATATTTTTGAAGTTTTTAAAATAATCTTTAAACATTTTATGTTTGGCTTCAAACCTCATAGACCACATATGTAACAATGGGCCTATTTTCCTAATAGAAGATGGGTAGTGGATCATAAAATGATGCTTAGGTATCAAGTTTCTATGGGGGTATAAGAATTTAAAAAGTCTGTGGTGCTCAACAATCAAATGCTTCAAATATATTGTCATACCTATAGTAAGGATAGGAGAGAAGACAATGTTCATTATTTCCAGTAACAACAGTAGCATGTACCAGTTTTTGTCTCCTCTAGGAATAATGTCCCCAAACAAAAGTGGAATATTTTTAACAAGACACAATGTCTGAACAGAATTTAAACCTATGCCATTTCCAGAACTTTCCAAAATAATTTTTGTGGGACGGTTTTTCCTTTCTAAATAGCCATAATCAAAACTATAAATCCTGGAGAGTAAGTTTTGTTTTGAAATTAGGTTTTGGGTAAGATATTCAAAAAGTAATTTGATCTCATACTGAGCAACACCCTCAAGAAGATCATGCATTATATCAAATGAATGGTTGTCAGAAACATGAAAATATCTCAATGAATTAAGTGAAGATTTTTTTTTTTCAAACCATATAATGACTTTAGCTGTGGGTTTTCTTCAAGAGCTTTATAATGCATTTCAAAAATCTCCTTTCCTCTAAGTATTACCTTAGGATCATCCTCACTGTAGACAGTCTGACATTCGCTTTTTTCTATTAAACAAATCCGACAAAAGTAATGACTACTAAAAGATTCATTAAAACCAAGGATTGTGTGCATTCCTAAATTATCTCCAGTTATCTGGGAGATGGTGCCATATACTGGCTCATCAGAAAATGGAAGACTAAGGCCGTGGCTTTCTAGATTTTTTAGATCTTTCAGAAATGGCTCCAGAATAGCATCAAAACCATATTTATGGAGATCTTGTACATGAAATAGTGATATCAAATGAATATTCATCAAAACTGAATTAAATTTAGGAGGAAGGTTTCTTAGAACAAAGTAAAGACTGCCAATTTTGTGAATTCCATGTTTAGAACCCAGGGGGTTGGCTGGTTCAAAATCATCATAAAATATCTGAATTTGTAAGGCATGTTTTTTGGCTGAAAACAAAGGATGTGTTTTATAATAGCTTCCATCAGAAAAGTCTGCGTAAGTCTCTTTCTCTGATCCACACTCTCGCCTAAGCAAAGCACAGATTTCCTGATTTCTGCACATGAACTGTAATGTTTCCAATATCGGCACATATACAAAAGTTTCCTTCACAGGTACTTGATCATATGTTCCAGTTTTCTGATTTCGTCTGCTGTCATATCTTACTCCTAGTGTTATCTCCACTGGATCTACAACACCCCATTTAATGTTGAAGTATTTGTTTCGTTTCCATTCTGTATTTAAGTTTGTGAACGGATTTTCAAATTGTTCGAATGACTCATTTATCAAAGAAACATTAGGATCAGTCATGGGTAATGCAGAAATAGCAGTCTGCTTTGCTTTTAAGTGAATCTCATTCGTTAGTTCTTCTAAATCCCCCACTATTGAGGACACAAGGCTGCCAGAGATTCCACTGCCTTGTAATTTAGCTACTATAGATGCACACATCTCTTTAGTTTGGTCTTTAGAAATCTGTGAGGGAGTGCTCTCCTGAGGTGAATCAGAAGAACAGGACTGATTTAGGGGGGCTAGCTGGTCATTCAAAGCATCAGCTTGATATGTTACAACTGGATTACAAGAGGATGAACTTGGAATGGCTAAACTCTGCGAAATGTGCTGAATGTTACTGTGAACATTATTAAGATGCTTTCTAAAACCTGTATATGTCAGAAACTGATGCCTGCAGCCTTGCTGAGAACAAACCAATTTGAACTTTGGTCCAGGATAGTAACTATGTTCAACTCTTAAATGTGAAATCAACTGCTGGCTGCTTGGATACAGGTTCTGACATTTAAAGCATCTCAACATTTTTACCTTGACCTACTCACAGGAGAGCACAAGGGGCTGGTTAAAGGAATAGTACACCCAAAACATGATTAGCCTTCATTTTCTACTCACCTCCATGCTGAACAACACTCTGGAGTACTTTTTTGATATCTCAAATGCATCTGGAGATCTGGGAGGCTTCTTGCTGTCTGCTGACATTCAAATAATGGAGGTCCATGGCGCCCGAGACAGAAAGGTCCATAAAAGTCCACAAAAACGTGTCAATATTCCTCCATACTGCTCGTCCAATGTAATCCAAGTGTCCTGAGTGGGTAGCATCCAGAATTTACTCGAAACGAAGTCATTTAGAATGTTTTTAGAGCATAAACAGTAGTGTATAGGATTTCCTAATAGCGCCCCCATGCGCGCTCACGATTCTACGGAAGCCGGCAGACCAAACCGGAAGAAAGTGCGCATTCAGCGTCTGGTCTGCCGATAATGCAAGCGTAGAAGAAGAAATGTGCTGTTTTCCTGTGCAAAGAAAGAAACAACGAAAGAAAAATGTCTGAGGACTTCAGTGTTGAGGAAGAGCATGAGTTCTTTGCCGAGCTGAATGCGCTGGTTTGGTCTGCCGGCTTCCGTAGAATCGTGAGCGCGCATGGGGGCGCTATTAGGAAATCCTATACACTACTGTTTATGCTCTAAAAACATTCTAAATGACTTCGTTTCGAGTAAATTCTGGATGCTACCCACTCAGGACACTTGGATTACATTGGACGAGCAGTATGGAGGAATATTGACACGTTTTTGTGGACTTTTATGGACCTTTCTGTCTCGGGCGCCATGGACCTCCATTATTTGAATGTCAGCAGACAGCAAGAAGCCTCCCAGATCTCCAGATGCATTTGAGATATCAAAAAAGTACTCCAGAGTGTTGTTCAGCATGGAGGTGAGTAGAAAATGAAGGCTAATCATGTTTTGGGTGTACTATTCCTTTAAGCAGCCTCGCTCTTAAGTCTCTGACTCTGGGTGATTCCTTCATTTTGCCAACATCAATGTTATACACTGTTGTCTTCAGAAACGTATAAAAACTCAATAATGCAGCATCATAAGAGACATTGAACACAAAATGTGCTTTGAACAACTCATCAAATGCTCCAAGAGAGCGGTTTGCCTGGCATGGGATGAGGTGTTTATCCATGACTATGTAGAAGCTGTCAATCTTGCTCTTCAGACGCCCAACAGCAAGGAGGTATGGCTGGAGACCCCGTTGACCCCGGAGATGTTCCTCTAAACTGCAGCATGACTAAGATAAAAAAAATATAATAAAGCAAAAAATAAGAAATGAGACAGAGCTACAACCATTAGAAAAAAAGATTCAACTATCTAACAAAAGAAATTCATGTCTAACCAGACATCTTCAAAGATGCGCAGTTACCACCAGTATTTATACATGACTATAAAAGCAAAGTGACAAAGTACTGTACATTTTTTTATTTAATTACCTTGTGAAAGACAACGAGTCTCTCAATTGCATCCCATGCACTGATTTTTGGAGACTTCTGTCCTCCAGGTGGTGGTGGAAGGAGATGTAGGAGCAGTAACAAGGAGGCCATTTCTTGGTCATAGGCTGATGACAGATTCATATAATTTAGTGTCAGAACTTTGACAACGTAGAGCCAGTGTTGAATACTCTGAACAGTCAACCATGTTCACATATATTTTGGTACTTACTAGATGCCGCATCCTGGTCATCTCCAGGGACTTCCGCTGACTGCACCAAACTTCTCAACTCAGGTGTTGAAGTGAGACGCTTGGCCTCTTTGATGACATTTTGCTTGAAGAACACATCCCACTTCTGCAGCAGTCTGGAGGAGGTTTCTTCATTAAATAGAAGACTGAAGTCTTGATCAATCTATATTAAAAAGCAGAAATCCAACTATCAACACTGGATATAACCTTGTATTTAAAGATTTTAACTCATTTGAAGACTTACTAATCCTTTTGTGTCCAGAAATCTGGGAAACATTGTCAGAATGTCTGTTCTTCCACTGGCATCTCTAATAAGTTTCTGACGGTGTTCAAAAGTCTCTCTCATCTTCTGAAAGATCAGGGACCTGTCTGTGGTGTGGTTAAGCAACGACATGGCTTCCTGGCAGGCATCACCATTTAGTTATCTTTCGACGATCACATTTCTCTGACTATTTGGGCCTCCACTTAAAATCTCTTTGGAGCTACTTGGTGCCACAGGAGATCCTCTTCTAGTCTTCCTTTTAATTTATTTTGAGACGCCATGAAATGTATCCTGTGCTGCTTGCTGCATCATAAAAGTGCTCCTAAAAAAGGGAATAAAGAAAAACAATCACAATTTTTATGAAAAAAACACAGTTTTGGGACAAAATGAGATATCACAATTGGTAAAGAACATTACATAGCCTTTTTTGGTGTATGGATCTTTGAGGGAAGGGAAGAGCGTCACTATTCCAAGGGCATACTGCTCTCTGATCGCTTTAGGAGGAAGGTGCCTAACAGCAGATTTCACATTAGAGACAAATAGTCCATTTTTACAGAGATTAAAAAGTGTAAAAACACACCTACCCATGTTCATCAGTCATGTGAGCCACCAGTATGTTTACCATCTGCCTTCTTGTGGCATCACTTAGGGTTTCTGTTGCTTTATACTCCTGCAGAACTTCTTCACCACCAGACTTGCTTTGAAGGACACCTTCAACCCGCTATGAAATGAATGAACAGAAAGGAAATTTATGGTGATATTCGGATTACTCAAATATGAGACAACAGGGTTAAAGAGTTTAGAGGCACACAAAATATATTGTTACCTTTTTGGCAGACAATGCATTATTAGCATTCTCAATTTTTTGCATCTTCCATGGGATCTCATCCATTAGTATTGTTGATGTTGATGCATCTGAGCTGAAGCTTGAGTCAGACTCAGAAGCAGACCTTTCAGAGAACTCTGAAGAAGAAAATCCATTTCATCTTTTTGTAAAATCTTTATGATGCTTGACTTAATTTACTTTTATATCTCACCATCATGGCAGTAGACCTTCAACACAACATTGCCTTGTTTAATGAGGTCACTGAATATTTCTTCATCAACTTCAGTATCTGTTCCATCCTTGTATGCAACTTTGGCATCAGGTGGCAGGCAAAATCTTTCAATGACTGGAAAAGCAAGAAGGCAAAATTTTTATTTGAATGCTCTAATCACCAACTGTGTCATTAAAATATGTATTACATTTTTTTTGTGTTGATCATACAATTAGCTTGGAGATTAGAGAACATATTGCAAAACTGAAAATAAAATTGCTTATCCCTTTTACTCACCATAGATTTGTAAAATAAGTGTTGAAAACTAAGTATGTATTTTCCCTAAATACATTTTGTACGGAAGAGGATTAGAGCCACTGGAAAAAAAAAAAAAGTGAACTGATTTTTTTTTTTTTTTCAGTATAGTATGGGAAAACTTTTTTCTCAGAATTCTGACTTTTTTTCTCAGAATTCTGAGATTAAAGTCAGAATTCTGACTTTTTTCTCAGAATTCTGACAATAAAAAAAAGTCAGAATTCTGACTGAATTCTGATAATAAAAAAAAGTCAGAATTCTGACAATAAAAAAAGTCAGAATTCTGACAATAAAAAAAAGTCAGAATTCTGACTGAATTCTGATAATAAAAAAAAAGTCAGAATTCTGACTGAATTCTGATAATAAAAAAAGTCAGAATTCTGACTGAATTCTGATAATAAAAAAAAGTCAGAATTCTGAGAAAAAAGTCAGAATTCTGAGAAAAAAGTCAGAATTCTGAGAAAAAAGTCAGAATTCTGAGAAAAAAGTCAGAATTCTGACTTTAATCCCAGAATTCTGACTTTTTTCCCATGTTAAACTGAAATAAAATTTAAAAATCAGTTTACTTTTTTTTTTCCCAGTGGCCCTAATCCTCTTCCGTAATTTTGCCTATCATTTACCCTGCACAAAGGTTTAACAAGAAACCAACCTTTCTCATGGAATTGATGAAAGTCAAACTTCCCTTCAGCTTCATCCAACTTCACATACTTTTGCACCTCACCATAGTTAACCTGGATCAACATTTTACTGAAGCATGGAATAAACCTAAATAAAGCAAAATACAACTTATAAGTAAAGTGTTCCCCTTAGTGTGCAATGCATGTCTGCAGTAGGAACATCTCAGCGGCCCCATTGAAGTTCAGGTGAAGTCTAATAGGCAGGAACCTTTACATTCCCACCACCAAAAATCATGATTTTAGATGGCAAAAAATCATCAAACTTTTATCTTTAATGATTATATGGTCCAATATGATTATTACTTTTAAGTGTTACCGTTACAGTACTTTTAATTGTAAATACAATGGTTGCTAGCTAACAACCCACACGTGGGCTGCTAGCTAGCACTTTGTGTAAGGTTGTTGTAAAATGGACACATTTAGCTGCCATTCAATGAATTAATTATGCGAAAAAGTCACATCACTTATTCTATCAATTTAATAGTGCCTGGTCAAAGATTTAGAAAGTTGCTGTTACCGTGTAGTGGAGCAGGAGACGGAGAAAATGGAGCCGTGTTCAGACTGCACTCAAACGAAGACGGCGAAGAAGGGGGCGGAGCTTCTTCTTCTTCTTATGAGATTTTATGGCGGTTGGCAAACTTGTGAAATGTGCATTACCGCCACCAACTGATATGGAGTAAAGCAAGGAAACAGGAAACGATTCACCCCCCCCAAAAAAAAAAAAAAAAAAAAAAAAAAAAAAAAAAAAAATACAATAAAATAACCTGTGTAACTTAAACCCACATAATACTAAATTATACTAAATTACATTTGCCCGTATAATTTTAATTTACTCTAGGTCATCGTACCTCTGCCAGTTTCTGATGGTCCCATTGGTCTTTCCATCATGCTTCCAACCATCTCCCAGTTCATATCTTTAACATCCAGATATTTTTCTGCAGCCTTCACTATTATTTTGATTTTTTCTGTTTTTTTTGTCGTCTGAGCAGTACAATTAATCACTTCCACCATGAAAAGAACAAAATTTGTCTTTTTAACAATTAGTGAGTCTTCATCAATTTTTGGAGATTTCTCTAGAGGTTTGAAATTTGCCGTGTGTTGAACTGTAGGTTTGGGTTTTTCTGACTGAGATGGGATCCTTTTTGCAGCTTCAGCATAAGTTATTCCAAGCTCAAATTTCATTTTTTTTATTTCTTCAGACCTTTTGCTTGCTTCACAGCCGCGATAAGCAGCAGTATGTTCTCCACCACAATTACAGCATTTTATTTTAGCTTCTTTTCCACATTTACCATATTCATGTTCTCCTGCACACCTTCCACACCTCTGTTTCCCTTTACAAACTGCTGCAATGTGTCCGAATTTTTGACATTTGAAACATCTCAATGGTGGTGGATTGTAGATTTTGACATTGTAACTGATGTAACCGATGAATACTTTGCTTGGTAATTGCTCTTCCTCGAATTTAATTAGTACAGATAAACTGTCAGATCTTTCTCCGTTTCTTGTTGTTTTTAACCGTTTTACTTCTTTTACTTTTGCACCGCTTATGTTTTCCAGAATCTCTTTTTCAGAAATTTTCAGAGGAACTCCTCCAATGACTCCCCTGCTGATCTTTTTGTTCTCCATTAGGCTGCACTGAACTCTTATCCCGTCAATTTTGTTAATACGTATTGCTTTGCCTTGCTGGGCGCTGTCTCTGCAGTTAATTAGCAGGTCTCCACTGTACAGAATTCTGGCACCTCTGACTTCTCCAACAAGTTTATTGATGGTTTTTGTTAAGTGAACCGGATTCCAGTTTGTAAAAGAGTCTGCCTGATTAACGACTTTGAATATGACTTTGAATTCATTTTGTTGTGCTGTGGAATGTATGGATTGATCATCACTGGATTGTTCTGAACTAGATTCCCCTTTAACTGATCTCTGTTTTTTCCGCTTTTTCTCATTTTTTGATGCTGCTATCTTCCAACCTTCATTGTCACTATTTCCCTCTTCCATCCCACAAGAATCGCTTCCTGTTTCCTCACTACTCACGGCCCAGGACATTTCTCCACAAGCAGAGCAGCTTCAAAACACGCGCCATGCACCAAACGACCAACGTTCCTCCCACGTCCTTCCTCCGGGGGCGGAGCTTATTTTTCTCCCAGCAGAGTAGATTCAACACGGGCCCAATTAACTCCTGGAAATAACTTGAACATTGAGCACCATTTACAGGTGCTGGTCATAAAATTAGAATATCATGAAAAAGTAGATTGATTTCAGTAATTCCATTTAAAAAGGGAAACTTGTATATTATATTCATACATTACATACAAACTCATATATTTCAGATGTTTATTTTGTTTAATTTTGATGATTACAAATGACAACAAATGAAAATCTCAAATTCATCATATCAGAAAATTAGAATATTACTGAAGACCAATAAAAACAAAGGATTTATAGAAATGTTGGCCAACTGAAAAGTATGAACATGAAAAGTATGAGCATGTACAGCACTCAGTATTTAGTTGGGCCTCCTTTGGCCTGTATTACTGCAGCAATGCGGCGTGGCATGGAGTCGATCAGTCTGTGGCACTGCTCAGGTGTTATGATAGCCCAGGTTGCTCTAATAGTGGCTTTTAGCTCTTCTGAATTGTTGGGTCTGGTGTATTGCATCTTCTTCTTCACAATACCCCATAGATTTTCTATGGGGTTAAGGTCAGGAGAGTTTGCTGGCCAATTAAGAACAGGGATACCATGGTCCTTCAACCAGGTACTGGTAGCTTTGGCACTGTGTGCAGGTGCCAAGTCCTGTTGGAAAATGAAATCTGCATCTCCAAAAAGTTGGTCAGCTGCAGGAAGCATGAAGTGCTCTAAAACTTCCTGGTATGTGGCTGCGTTGACCCTGGACCTCAGAAAACACAATGGACCAACACCAGCAGATGACATGGCACCCCAAACCATCACTGACTGTGGAAACTTTACACTGGACTTCAAGCAACGTGGATGAAGTGCCTCTCTTCTTTTCCTCCAGACTCTGCGACTTTGATTTCCAAAGGAAATGCAAAATTTACTTTCATCAGAGAACATGACTTTGGACCACTCACCAGCAGTCCAGTTCTGTTTCTCTTTAGCCCAGGCAAGACGCTTCTGACGCTGTCTGTGGTTCAAGAGTGGCTTGAGTGGCATCAATTTTGAACCTTTTCACAATATTCTAATTTTCTGATATGATGAATTTGAGATTTTCATTTGTTGTCATTTGTAATCATCAAAATTAAACAAAATAAACATCTGAAATATATGAGTTTGTATGTAATGTATGAATATAATATACAAGTTTCACTTTTTAAATGGAATTACTGAAATCAATCTACTTTTTCATGATATTCTAATTTTATGACCAGCACCTGTAAATCTCTAAGTGTTAAAACAACACTTAGTCAGTTAAATTCAACTCTAAAACATTTTACTCAAAAATGTTAACTCTTTAATTTTTGCTGTGTGGGTTTGAGTATATGCGACAAGCTTTATGGTCATATCCAACATTTAAAAAACCCTAGTGTAAATCAGAGCTGTCTAGGTAAGAGAGTTCTGGCATCTCCATAGACAACAATAGGCAACATTTCAAAGAGCAATGGTGATGCAGGGAGCTTAAATAGTTGAAGGGAAGTTAGCCACTCACACTAACATTGCCATAGACTTTAGGAGAGCATGGCAGTTGTGCATGGATGCATCTATATGCGATTTTGAAAACTTAACCTAACTTGGTTTTGAAATGTAAACAGACCGTTAACATCTATAAATGATTGAAACAGGCTCTAGATTAAAAAAAAGAAACCTCATTTCACATGGCTAACAACTGAACTATGAGAGCTCTCGCAAAGCAGTCTGGGATATATCTGTTTGTCTAGTGACCATGGAGGATCACTTTTCAAGGTGCTTTGTCGGAAATTTCCAGTCCTTATATAAGACAGTGTAAACCCTATATAGTGTTCTCTGTAGGGATTAAACCCGTCCGGTTTAATTTGCATGTTTTCTAAGCCAAAACAAGGCTTTGTTTTTGGTCCACTCTATAAAGCGTCAAACACAACTTTATTTCTGAAATTTTTAATTGAAACAGTTTCCTGGATGGGAAGCAAAACGTCTTAAAACTTGGAAACAAAGTCCAGTGGATTGGTTTTTTTTTACTTTTTTGGAATGACAAATGAATTTGAAACATACTTCAAATTTTGTGTTTTTCTCTTCTGCATTCATTGCTTACATCCTACTTCTTCCTTCCTTTACCTTCTTTACCTGTGTGGTAAAGCTAGGCGCATCCTCTGGCATGTCATAAGTAGGCCACTTCATTGCCCATTACAGCTCTTTCAGTTTCAGAGTTTCATCTTCACACTTTAGCCTTTTTAATTCAGACCTTGTTTGGATAAAGCCAAATATCTTCCTTTGTATTTGGAGGAAAGCAACTAAAACCTCATAAAAAATGAATACTCTGTAATGCCAAAGGTCACATTTCATCATATACTGTATATGCCTAAAGCTGAACCTTCCACATCAAAATGCTTTGTGCTGGTTTGTCTCATAGATTGTTATTAGTATAGTTCATTTTTTAAGATGTATGAGAGGAAACTGTTCACTGTTTTCCTTTTGTACAAGTTCTGACAAATGCTTTAGAAATCTTTGATGTAAGAATGTATAGAGAGCCATAAAATTCATAGAAGATCAGAAATGGCAATTGTGAACATAATTTCTGATTTATTAATTCATTTATGTGGTTTTTTTTTTTTTTTTTTTTTAGTCTGATGTAACTTGAACGTCTTTCATTTTTCTATTGAGTTCTTGTTCCTTTGAAATACCTATATACTGTTTGTAAAGCCTTTCTGTGGTTTACTGACTTTAAACTGTAGTACAGAGTGCTACATGAGTGAACTGCCCCCTGTGTTTCACAGGCTCAGGTTGAGGCTAAAAAGGAACATGAAGGCGCTGTCCATCTGCTAGAGGTGAGCGTCTGGACATGGGCTGGGGAGGGATGGGGGGGGAGTGATGTTTTTGTATGGCTGCTGCATGCAATTGACTGAGGGTGAATTTCTGATCTTTAAAATCTCACTTTTAAGTCCTTAAAGTCATGTGTTATTTTATTAAACTGCGAATGAAATTATTCTTGTTTTGCATTTTGGATGCATATGAAGAACCTGTTTGTATTACCATTTTTGTTAAAGGAAGAATAATCTCTTGATATTTTATTCTGTATGTATGTTGGTTTAAATCTAGCTGAAATGTTTTTTTTCTAGTCTTGGAAATGTGTTCGAGTGATGAAATATTTAATTTCTCTCCCTACATCTCTCTTTATTCTATGGGTCTATGTTTATGCTTAAACAGAACCACTTGGACAGCATGCAGGTATTTCAGAATTGCTTCCTTGTTTCCTTTTATGTTTTTGAGATCAATGCTAATATAGTACAGCAGAATATGCAGTCAAACGGGTTTAGAGAAAAGATGTGTCGCCAAACTGCATGAATAGTTATTTATTAGGTACTTACAGTATAGCTGAATCTTAGTGTTAGGTGCTCTAAAGCCTATTAACTATTAGTTTTATAACACTGGGATA